CAATAGAGGGATGCTTTTGGAAGCCCTTGTCAAGAAATTCCAATGGACTCTTTCATAAACATTTGAAAATTGCCCTGTTCTGATTTTTTTCTAGTTCCCTGTCTAGAACGTATGCTGCTAACTACTCTTGCCTTTGCTTTTCCTTCACATCTCCTATTCACGATTCAAGGACTTTCTTCTCCCCCTAGAGATAAAATTTATTCAATTTGGGAGTCTTTTAGATAGACCCACTGAAGGGGTATTCCAATTGCCTTATCCCATGTCCCTGTTCAGCATGGAAGAAGCCAGAGCAATCTGCGTCCCAATTCCCTATTGGCAATTCGGGTAACCTCTTCAGAGGAGGGTGTGATAAGAATAGGAGGTAAGAATTGGTTAGGCAGTTAGGGTTAAAAAGACCCCAAAGAAAAGTAGCAAGTTTCTTGGCTAAAAGTCACAATGTCCTTGGGCCTCTTAGCAACATACTCTGTTCCAAAGGCCAAAAATGTCAAAAATATTTGGGAGCTTTTACCTAATCCTTAAAAGATTTTAGGGTTACCTCTTCAGAGGGAGGAATGTTAGAGTAACCAAAAGACCCATAAAAAAATAAAGAAGAGTACATGAAGTTATCAGAAAAAAGTAATGGGGAGATATGGGAGGAGTTGGAAGGGAGGGAGTGGGCATGGATTTGATCAAAACACCTTATATGCTGTATGAAACGCTCAATAATTTATTTAAAAAACATGCTAAAGCTAATTATTTATCTATCATGTATCATCTCTATATTAAAGATATATACATATATCATGCCATATCATATTACAACTGACTGTGGAGTTTGGAGCTGTGAAAACAGTTGAAGAGAGTCAAATTATTGAGAATGCCATGCATAGAGAGGTTCCCAAGTCACATGGGTTAAACTTGGGGCCAGTACTGTGTGGCATACTGAGCCTTGTGCCTCCTCCTGATTTGATAATCCAGTATTCTTTGCCCTGTACCACATTGAAAGAGCACACACAGAATCTGTTTATAATTTCTGTGACCATGGCAAGGTATGGTAATCTTCAGGTCTCTAACACAAGGCTTGTCTGTGAGTCCTGGGCTGTGAGGCACATGTCCCTGAAGGGCACTATGAGGACAGGAGGCAGCCTTAACTGATCTACACTGCTTCCCCCAAGGAAGCTGCTAAGCAAACTTCCATCTTGGTCATCTTACTAGAAAATATAAACTAATATGAAATAGATTTTACCAAAACCGTTTCTTAAAGCTCACACACCTCACACCTCACTTAGGCTACAGTTTCCCTTGTTAATTCACTCTGTGTCATCTCATCTAAAATTATCTATAGAATCCAATTTCAGAGTAAAACTCAAAGCCTGAAAATGGGCCCCGCAAGGTCTATGTCACCTTGTACCTATCACATCTCTGAGCCCATCTGAATCCTCAGGGTCTGACAATGAGCTGGGAGATGAAACACTGTCAGAATTCAGAGACTGAAAATGAAAATTAAAGTTCTCTTTGCTTTTTAAATTTTACTGTTTTATCCAACTTTTTGTTCTACCTTAATTCCACACTTATCTTTGAAAATTAGCAGCCTCCTCATTCACTGTTCATGTCCAGATTGTTCCTTAATATTGATAAATATATTCAACAATAATTAAAGATAACCTTATTCCGCGACACTTATTCTGTGTCAAAGACAAGGCTTGGTGACTTCGTGTGTGCTTTTGAAGTAGCTACTACATCTTTAAAACTTTTCCATTAAGAATTCCAGGTTCAAGGTGGTTAAACTATCTTCCCCAAAATTCCACAGCTTGCAATGATTTATAAAGGGAGAGCCTGAACTCAGATCTCCCTGGTCTGAGCATATCTGACCCCATATGAGACTCAGTCCCAAAGGAGGAACCTGCGGCCGTGCCTCCGGCAGAAATAATCTCCAGGTTTTCCTCACCTTTTGATCCTGGACTCATACTCGATCTTTTGCTTCGTCATTTCCTGTTTCAGACTGGAAACTAAACTGTGAAGTGCACTGTGGTTGCTGGTGGTGTTGCCCACAAACGTCTCACTGTTGTCGCTGCTGCTGGTGGCACGACTACTTCGACCTCCCACGCTCCTGCGGTCACTCTTGTTTTCATAGTCCCCGGGGTGGGAAAGGTCGTCCTGAGGGGGCCCATCTAAAACAGGATCCTCAAAGTTCCCACCATAAAAGTCCTGATCTGGGCAAGTGGTTGTGGAGGAGCGACAGGAATTGGAGTTCTCAGGGAGGGAGATTTCACAGGAGGAGGTGGACCAGGTGGCGCTGTCAACGCTGTGCTTATCATCCAGAATCATCATGGAGAACTGCTGGTGGACATTATCATAGGTGGAGAGCCGGTTGTGCTGGCCTGACTCCCCAGCTGGTTCCTTTGGCTTGCTATCCCTCAGGGTCACGTAGCCATTGGGCAGCCAGCTCATGCTTCGACCATTTAAAGGGTTCCCGAGAGCGTCAGTGTTCAAAACACCCATGCGAACTGTTCCATTCTGCACACTGTGCGTGCCCATTTTGGTACCAGAACCCTTCAGTGAAGAGGCCCTTCTGGCTTGTAAGCTCCCGTTAGGGGTAGTCTGAGGCTTTTCAACACTTTCTGTGTTACTGCTGCTGAAGGACCCATTGGTGACTATCCCACTACCCTTATTGAAGGCTGGGTTCTTTTTAACCATGAGAGGGGGGCTCCTGGAGACATCCAGCTTGTGAACACTGTTCCTGGGGCTGTTGGTTTTGCTGCCTGATAAAGCTGTGGGAGACCCATTGTCCATACTGCTTCTCTGGGGAGATTCAGTCTTGTCCCAAGAGCACCGCCTGCCAGGGCTATCCTTGGAGTTATTGCTGTCCTTGTTCTGTAACTGACCTACAGTGGCTTTCTTCTGAATATCGTTGTTGTTGTTGTTCAGTCCATCTTGTGGCTTGCTTTGCAGTTCTGTATCTTTGGGGAAGAGGTGATCATGTTTACTAATCATCACTGACATTAGCTGCTGGACCACCACAGTGCCTGGAATATCACAGAAATGAGAGTGTGAGTGAGAGGTCTTTGATTCATTTTTCATTTTGAATGTAACTTTTAAGGAAAGATATTTAGGAGAATTTCCCCAATATTACTAGCAAAACATGATGAATTCATAGCAATTATAACATTGATAGAAACTAACATTTCTTGAGCATCTAGTCTGTTCCATGAACTGTGCCAAGCACTGTTTTATAGCTTAGCTGGATTATAAAACAATCATAAATAGTTACTGTTACTATCACAGTATTTTGAAGGTTAAATAACTTGACTAAGGCCACAAAACTTAGAAGACGACTTTGGGCTTAAACATAGAGATTCATATTTCTAGAGCCTGAATGTTAATCATTATGTGATATTTATTGCAAGTTTAGCACTTTAGTGTAAGAAATCTTTCTTAAGAGGAGGTCATTTTGATCTCCCATTTGACAATTGCCTCAAACCATCACTATACTTTAATAGCACTTTTAAATAGGACCATATATACTCTATATGGTCTATCTTTTTAATGTAGCAAGACAATGAAGTTTCATGTGTCTTTTGCTCAACATTGAAAAGCTTCAGGGCTTTTTTAAAATAAAAAGCTTCAGGGCTAAGGGACATTGGCCAGAATGGTATAGTAAGTACCTCTGAAAATCCTCTTCTCCTTAAGAATCAAAATTTGAAATGCCCTGATAGCCTCCTGGGAATCTAGAAGGCCATGGTCACACTTAGGAATGAGCACATGCTTTGGAAAGAACTGAGGATCCCTAAGCTCTCACCCCTGGCTGACCTTGAAGCAAGGCACAAGCTGAAACTGAAAGCTGGGCAAACTTGTAAACTGTCCAACTAAATGTTGATTTGGCTCATCAGGTACATAGAACCTCTTAGTGGAGGTAGGTAATCTTATTGGCTCCCAGTACTTAAGGAAACACCTACTTAGTCATTAAGTAACTACTAAACAAACCATACAGATACTTCAGTGGCCATAATATAACTAAAAATACAGACCTTATAAATTGTTCCAAAAAGATACTAAATGGACAGCAAGATATACAAACAGCAACAAATCCTAAGGAAGGGAAGAATAATATCCAAGATTCCTAGATATTATTAAGAATGTTAAATTTTCAATATAAGATAGGAGACATTCAAAGAATAAAGTCTGACTTAATCATAGGAAGAAAGAGTTGATTTGGAGGAAACGCAGACATAATCACTAGAAATGTTTTAAGTCAGTTATTTAAAATGAGCCCAAATAGCTAAAGGAAACCATGTCTGGAAAAACCAAAGGAAAGTGAGAATAACATCTCACCAAATAAAATCTACCAATAGAGACAGAGAGCATAAAGAACAACCACACGGATAGCCTGGAGGTGAGAAGTATAATGACTAAAATGAAAATGTCAGTAGACAGAATATTCAGTCCATGGAACAGCAAGAAAAGATTATGAGCCAAAATGAGCAGATGTTCAGAATCCTTTGGAGCCCTATCAATCACAGCAGCATATGTATCATGTTATCCCACAGGAAGAGGAGCAAGGGAAATGAGCAGAAAGACTATTTCAAAGAATAGTGACTGAAATGCCCTATTTTGGTAACAATCATGAGCATGTACCTCCAAGAAGCTCAGCAAATTCCAAGTGTGGTAAATGCAAAGAGATTCATTTATTGACAGATTAGAGTTAAATTGTCTTAGGATGAAGATAAAGAATCTTAGGAGCATCAAAAGAGAGGTGATTCATATACAAGTATCCTTTATTAATATGAACCAGTAATATGTCATCAGAAACCATGAGGTCTAAATACCAATGCAAAGGAATTCTCAAAACTTGAAATATAAAGGAGAAATGAAGGTTAACAGAATCAGATTTTTCATCACTAGTAAGTCCATTCTACCAGCAGACCTGTACTACAAGAACTGAAAATTTTTCATGGAATTTTAATAAAAGGGAAGTCTGATAGAAAAGATTCTTTTTCTTTTCTTTTTTTTTTGAGTCAGGGTCTCCCTGTAGCCCCATCTGGACTGGAGTTCACTTTATAGACCAGGCAGATCAAGTCTCTGACTCCCAAGTACTAGGACTAAGGCATGTACTACCACACCTATCTTGGAGAAAAGATTCTTCTTAAAGGCAGAAAAATAACTCAGATAATAATGGATAGAAAACTTGGTCTTTTATTTTTTAGCAGCAATTTAAAAGCTCAGTTGATTCATCAGATGCTAGGGCATATCAGTTTAAATTTCAAAATCCATCTTTACATGTTTTTATTTGATTTATAAGCTTTGGTCCTGTACTCCAAGACTATACAAGTAGACCTGTAGATTAGCTTTTCAAGATGGGGTCCCCAGTTCTCTATTGGTCTTACTGCATATTAATTTGATGCATCCACGATAAAGCATTTGGATGCCACTCACATCCTTCAGCTTTGCTTTGACTTTAATTCTATAAATTTGGTATAACTATATAATATTGACAAAGTTCCTAGAGTTTTTCCTGAAAAACAACTTACTAGTAAATACAGTTTTTATATAAAACACTAAAATTATAAGACTTGATGACGATATAATGGAAAGGGTTTTTGACAGTACAGCTGTCCAGCTGCTGACTAGGGCTGAACTGGACCAGTAGCCTGATGAGGGCAAGGCCATGCTTTCACTTAAAGCAACACTTCACTTAAATGATTCAAATTCAAAATTTGAATAGGAAAAAAATAGGTCATATTCATCCGTGTTCTGCGCATTCCTTCTGTGATGAGTCAAAACATAGTTTGGACTTAATTCCGGTGTGCCGGAGGCAATGCTAGACCAATGTCACTCACTCAAATTTTATGTTCATACAAATTACCTAGAGATTTTGGTAACATATTCTAATTCAGTAGCCATGAGTGGGACATGAAATTTTGTATTTCTAGCTAGCTTCCAGTTGCTAGCATCAAGAACAGTCTAGAAACAGTAGCATCATCTGAGAGCTTCTCCATTTCAGGACCTGCCTATGTGCCCTCTGAATCCAAACTTATATTTCCATAATAACCCCAGGTGATTTCTCTGTGTTTGGGAAACATTTAATAGGAGAAAATATTTAATGTATGTCTCAAATAAAGTCTCTCTGAAGCCTGTGATATAGTATTTTACAGTTTTCAGATGAGGAAATTGAGGTTCAGAAAGGTTAAACTCTTTGCTATGGCCACAGCTGGATAGTGAAGGAGACTAGTTATAACAAACAAACTAAATAAAAGACAATGATTTATGGAATCACCACCAATTACTATATAATTGCAAGACAAAAAGAACAAAATCACTTGAATGATGTATAAATCTTCCTTTTACAGTATTTTCAAAAAATTTAATCACATTTTCAAAACAGCACATCTAAAGCAAAATTTTCAGAGAAACTGAAGTGGTCATCAAGATTGTCACTGCTAAAGACGAGAGTACACGCTGTTATTTCATTACTTCCTTATGTGACAGACAGTTTTGAAGGTTTACCATTTGCATTCATGTGGCTCAGTCTAGCACTGGGGAAAATGAATCTTTTTTCCCCATCCTTAGAATATTAGCATTTAAAGCATCACTGGTTTCTATCATAGCTATGGATTATGAGAGACATTTAATGAAATGAGCAACAAAATTTCCACAGACTCCATAATGAGCTTATGAACAGGCAGGACAAAGCGTATCTGTTAAATGATAGAGTGGGTGTCTTGGCCCCACAGATTTGAATTTTTCTTCTTTGTGTGTTGGGAGGTTTCTCCTCTATCTAGTCTCTGGGACAAATAATGGCAGTGGTCTCCCACAAGGGTCATTCTTTCAATTTTGTAAGTCATAGTAATGTAGATGTGTGCCTGTCTCCATATGTACTATCTTTTTCTTTGCCATCACTCCTTTCTGTCATTTCCTCTTTTAGAATGTTAACGGAGGCTATTAAGCCCCAATAATGAGGTCAGAGTGGCTATGGTCACCAGCCTATTATGCAGAATGCAAGCAGCCTCTGGACTCCTGCCATGCTGTACAACTCAGCAATTCCCTCCTGGCCCACAATATTTTATGCAGGTTGAATTTAAAAATCATAGTATAGGCAGTTTTCTCCAGAAACATTGGCTAAGAATTTAATTTTCCTTTAAAGATACCTAGGTCATAGTCTATGCAATATATTTTCAATTTTTTTTTGCAGCAAATAAGCTAGACAGCTGCCATTTTCCATGTCTAAAGATATCCAATGAGTTTTGAAAACTGCATACAATAATGGAAAAACTATCTAATTACAATAGGGAAAATTTGCCTTGTGCCTTTTGCAGTCAGCCCCTTACTCATATGCCCTGCCTGTGGTAGCACCTCTATTGTGATCTCTGTGACTCTGGTTTTGCTTTTACCATAATTTAATAAATAAATGAAATCATACAGTTGTCCTAGTTTCATTATGTTACTATGATAAAATATCCTGACAAAAAAACAGCTTAGGGGAGAAAAAGTTTATCTTAACTCACAGTTCTAGATTATAGTCCATCCTCTAAGGGGAATTCAGCTCGTCACATTGCATCCACAGCAAGAGCAGGGAGAACAGACTCAGCTCCTATTCAGCTTTCTCTAGTCTTAACACAGTCTAGGATTCAAACCAGGAAACAGTGCTGCCCACTTTCAGGCTGAGTCCTTCCATGCTGGTTAAGGCAATCATGCCAGACTCCCCCAGGATGCCCAGATCTAGATAATTCTTCATTGAGACTTTTTTCCTGATTCTAGGTTATGTTAAGTCGACAGTTAAAAACAGCCACAGCAGCCTCATGTGCAGGCATGTTTCACTTAGCATAGAGGTCTTGACATTTATCTGTGTTGCTACGCATATCAGTAGTTCATTCTTTTTATTGCTGAGTAGTATTTCATTTTGTAGATGTAAATTTGTTTATGAACTGTTTCTTTTTTTATTATAATTTTTATCAAACATATTCTTTGACAGTTTTATACATGTATACAATGCATTCTGGGTACTCTTACCCTCACCCTCTCCTCTCAT